CCCCTGGAGCAGGTGGCGGTCAAGGTCAGGCTCCTGAAAGTGGGCACTGGCTCTGCTGATGGATGTGAATACCTGGGAGGCCACAGGAAATACCTCTGGCGACAGGAGTGGCCAAGGGGACAGTCCCTTCCTTTCTCTCAGTTTTAGTTTTCTCTTCTCTGAATGGTGATGATCATGGAATCCTTTTAGGAGAGTAAAAAGATTTGAGGTGCTCTGTCTGAATCACCCAGCACAGAGTTGCACCCCCAAATCAGGGTGTTATGACCCACTTAACTTAGCTGGGCCTCAGCACCTCACCTGCAGAAGTTGTGTAGGATAATATAATACCAATAAAATCACTGATTAATCAAATACTGATGATATAATCCAATCTGCCTTTATAGAATGTTTCAGGTGAGCCTGTTGAGAGGACAGGACCCTCACTGAGCCACAGCATTGTCATCCCACGGCTGTGCGCTCTGGGCAAGTCTCTGTCTCCCCCAAGTCTTCAGTTTCCCCACTTGATGAGGATGATAATCACCCCATTCTCTGGTCTGTATGGATTGGAGACCAGCTATGAACAGCCAGTGCACAAAAATGAGACTGACCAGGAACTCTGTCCCTGGGCCCAGACTGTGGGAAATCATCTGGAGGGAAAAAGTTGGACTTTGAACGCAGGCCTGGAATTGCTCATTGGCCCTGCCCCTCACTCAGAGTTCACCTCTGGGAGCATGACTATCCTCCTTTGCAACACGGGGATGATGACACGCCCTCCCAGCATTAACAGAAGGATAACACACAGTATATGAGAAGGTTTGACAGTGCCACATGCTTGTGGTTAGTGGTGAGAATCATAGTCATGTTCAGTGTTCATTATGTTCCTTTTACAGCCAAACCCTCTCGCCCTGTGGTATCGGGCCCCACGGGCAGGTCGCCGCCTGGGCAGACAATGAGCTTCACCTGCCAGTCCCACGGCTTCTCCCCCAGAGACATCACCCTGAAATGGTTCAAGGATGGGAATGAGCTCCCAGCCTCCCAGACCATCGTGCACCCAGAGGGAGACCGCCCCCCCTCCAGCGTCTC